AGGATGTCAAATTCCTCTCTATGAAAAGGACCTTGAAATGAAGGCCTCTCCAGTGGCATGCAGCAGACCTGCTTCATCATTCCTAAAGCCAATGGCGTTTTTCAAAGCAGTTTTTCAGCCATGGAGTCTGCTCTCATATTCTGCTGACATATGGAAAAGTATCAAATGGCATATTTATACTTTGCACTGTTTTTTTATAATCTAGGATAGTCCCATCTCTTGGTCTACCTGCTTGTACCCACATCTTAAATGCCAGTTTAGCCTCTGCATGATATCCTGTCCAGATGTTATTTTTGGCCTTGTGCTCTGATACAAAGGATCCACAATGACATCATACATAGTATGGAGGTCAATACAGTGAGAAATATCACTGCAGTTAACATCCGAGCACGTAATAGATTGAAGAGGGAAACTTAATTTACTGAAAAAAAAGATCAGTTTTCATATGATATGCTAATAAGTCAAGTCATCTTTAGAGAGTCTGGACCATTTAAATATAACTGTAGGGGCACTATTTGCCTTCCATACGAACTCTGGAAGATTTTTAATATCCAGCATCATTGAAAATGGAACATGATCCGACATAGAATATTCATATCAGATTCTATTGATTCTACAACAGCAGCTTCACTTATACTGTGTAGCTTTCTGCAGGTAGCAGGAGCTGAAACTGTTATCGTCACAAAACTGTTTGGCAAATGAAGAATATTCATCAGACATATCTGCATCCATACACAGAGGTAAAATAATGATCAACAAGAGTTCAAGAAAGCAAGTCTATTCATACAGATGTCTTCATTCTGAGGACTCACATGGTGTGTGAACAATAATAAAGACAGATTCTTTGTTTTCACCTTTTAAATGTACAGCCAGCAGCGGTTCTGCTGACATTTGGAACTGGATCCAGCTTTTTGTGCCTCAGACTCTCATTAACCCACAGAAAGATTCACCAGTTCATTCATTCATTCATTCATTCATACAGTTCAAACTTCCCAAATCCTGTTTCCATAAGAAGTTTCTTGTAAACAAAGTATATCACATTTTTGCAGCAGTCGTGTTTTATCTGCAGCTGTTTTACCGACACACTGTCCCGCATTGTTATTGGTCTAAGTTTAGTAATGATTAGTTACATTTAATTACTTTATTATTATCGCTCTATTATGAAGAATTAATTTTTCTGTATTGTTTTGCATTTAACCATTAAAACTCAGGACAAACTAAAACTCTGGAGGACTCTGAAGCGGTCCGGTCTAATTCCTGGAGCTGGACTCAGCTGAGCATCTGGAGCAGAACCTCACTGGACAATGAAACTTTTCAAATGTTGCAAAGAAAGAATCCAGTTAGGCGTGTTTCCATCTGCCGGGCGACGCACAGCGTGATGTCATCAGCTGCTGATGCTTGCATGCTGCAGTAAACAGGAAGTACAGGTTGCTAGCTAGCATGGAGCAACAGAAAAACAGAGGAAAGGCACAGACCCCAGGGGGCCTCCGCTCCGATCCCAGGCTGATGGGCGAAAATGGAGCAAAACTCAACTTCACCTTTATAAAGAGACTCGATAGCGACCAGTGCAACAGAACACGCAAGGGAAGCAATCGGCGCAGAAATAGTGAAGAAAAACATGAATAATGCTGGAACTTTATTTACAACAGTTGACAGAATCCCAAACCGTCCAGAGACTCAAACTATGATCCAACTTCCACACAGAAAATTCAAAATTAGACGATGAATCTGAACATCGACACCAAATCCAGGATCTGAACCCAGAAGCTGAAGACATGAAGCTCCATGTAAACACAGATGGTTCTGGTTCTGTTGGACCTCAGTGTTGATCATGTTACTGAACAATCTGACTGGAGAACTGGTTCCAGTTGTAGACTGGTTCCAGTTGTAGACTGGTTCCAGTTCCAGACTGGTCCCAGTTCTAGACTGGTTCCAGTTCAAGACTGGTTCCAGTTCTAGACTGGTCCCAGTTCCAGACTGGTTCCAGTTCTAGACTGGTTCCAGTTCTAGACTGGTTCCAGTTCTAGACTGGTCCCAGTTCCAGACTGGTTCCAGTTCTAGACTGGTTCCAGTTCTAGACTGGTTCCAGTTCTAGACTGGTCCCAGTTCCAGACTGGTTCCAGTTCTAGACTGGTTCCAGTTCTAGACTGGTCCCAGTTCCAGACTGGTTCCAGTTCCAGACTGGTTCCAGTTCTAGACTGGTTCCAGTTCTAGACTGGTCCTAGTTCCAGACTGGTTCCAGTTGTAGACTGGTTCCAGTTCCAGACTGGTTCCAGTTCCAGACTGGTTCCAGTTCTAGACTGGTTCCAGTTCCAGACTGGTTCCAGTTCCAGACTGGTTCCAGTTCTAGACTGGTCCCAGTTCTAGACTGGTTCCAGTTCTAGACTGGTCCCAGTTCCAGACTGGTTCCAGTTCCAGACTGGTTCCAGTTCTAGACTGGTTCCAGTTCTAGACTGGTCCCAGTTCTAGACTGGTTCCAGTTCTAGACTGGTCCCAGTTCCAGACTGGTTCCAGTTGTAGACTGGTTCCAGTTCTAGACTGGTCCCGGTTCTAGACTGGTCCCGGTTCTAGACTGGTCCCGGTTCTAGACTGGTCCCGGTTCTAGACTGGTCCCAGTTCCAGACTGGTCCCAGTTCTAGACTGGTTCCAGTTCTAGACTGGTTCCAGTTCCAGACTGGTCCCAGTTCCAGACTGGTCCCAGTTCTAGACTGGTTCCAGTTCTAGACTGGTTCCAGTTCTAGACAGGTCCCAGTTCTAGACTGGTTCCAGTTTCAGACTGGTTCCAGTTGTAGACTGGTTCCAGTTGTAGACTGGTTCCAGTTCCAGACTGGTTCCAGTTCTAGACTGGTTCCAGTTCCAGACTGGTTCCAGTTCTAGACTGGTTCCAGTTCTAGACTGGTTCCAGTTCCAGACTGGTTCCAGTTCTAGACTGGTTCCAGTTCTAGACTGGTTCCAGTTCTAGACTGGTCCCAGTTCTAGACTGGTTCCAGTTCTAGACAGGTCCCAGTTCTAGACTGGTTCCAGTTTCAGACTGGTTCCACTTCCAGACTGGTTCCAGTTCCAGACTGGTTCCAGTTGTAGACTGGTTCCAGTTCTAGACTGGTCCCAGTTCTAGACTGGTTCCAGTTCCAGACTGGTCCCAGTTCCAGACTGGTTCCAGTTCTAGACTGGTTCCAGTCTGATGGAACTGGGATTTCTGTGTTTCAATAGGAAACGTCTCAGTCCTGGTCGGTTCTTTGTTCTCTCATATTGATAATATTATTAATATTGATAACCTGGTCGGCTCATCTCCACCGTTCACCTTCCCTCTGTTCTTCTTCTTCATCATCCTCAGAGCCTCTTGTCCGTCTCAGCAGAACCAGAACATCAGGAACGTCGGGAACGTCGACCCGGAGCTCGTCTGTTCCGGTTCCTGCTCGCTAACTGGGCTGTTGCTTTGTAGCCATTTTACTCTTTGTGTTTTTAATCTTGTAAAGGGTCTTTGGGGTCTGAAAGCCGCTAGCAAATAAAATGCTTTATTATGATGATCATATAGAGGTCAAAGGTCACATGTGGGGTTCCCCAAGGCTCTATTCTAGGACCCTCTGGTTCAACATCTATAAGCTCCCATTGGCTCAGGCCACAACAGGAAATAAGATCAGTTACCATGATGATGCAAATGACACAACTCTGTTATGATGTCACCAGGTGACCTTTGACCTCACTGGACAGATGCTATAGATCTATAACTCTAGATCTAGAGTTACAGATCTCAGCCTGTCTGGATGAGCGAAGCGCGGTCTGCTCTGCAGCTCCTCCTGCTGCTTCGGCCGTCTGCCATGAGGCGCCATGTTGGACCTTCAGTGACCAGTAGGAGAGAGTGAGAGCTGCACTGCAAAACTGAACACAGCTGCCCCCTGTGCACACCTGAGTAACAGTAAGGAGTCACATGACATTTTGGAGGGAAAATGACGAGCAGTCCTCAGTTTGTACATTTAGGGTGTTGTCTCTTTTGTTGCTGGTGGTTTAGACATTAATGGTTGTATATAGAATAATTTACATTGTTATACAAGCTGCACACAGACGACTTTATTGTGTCCGAGTGTCATTTTCTCTGTGTTGTCTCATGAAAATATATTCTTAAATATCTGCATGAATGTGAGGATGTACTCACTGTACATATATAAATGATCATAATAATTTCCTTCTCGCCTCAGCAGGTGGTCTCTCTCATCCTGAGCTGGACCAGACGCCTGGGAGCTGCAGGATTCTGCACAGCATCTATATTACAGGTGTGCTGATCAATCGGCCACTGATCATTATCGGCCAATCGCTAAAGCCGATCACCTGTCCCTCCTTCTCAGTCTGCAGGACCAAGAGAGGAGAAGCAGCTTTCTGCATCTATTCACCAAACATCTGGAACAAACTTCCAGAAAACTGTAAAACAGCAGAAACCCTGACTTCCTTTAAATCGCAACTAAAAACCAGCTGATTAGTTTGATTAGAAATGTAATATGTAACAATGTGTTGTTGATTCTATGATGCATGAATTTGTGTTTATGATGTAAAACACTTTGAAATGCTTTGCTGCTGAAATGAGCTACACAAATAAAATTTGACTGACTGATTGATTGATTGATTGATTGATTGATTGATTGATTGATTGATTGATTGATTGATTGATTGATTGATTGACTTTGGTCAGTTTCAGTCACGCTCACATTCACTAAGGGACGTAAAAGCAAAGAGGAAGTTGAGACACGGGACTTCCTGTTTGGTTCTTTCCTGGTTCTGTTTCTAATTGGGTCGATTCAGAATAAACCATCTCCTCCCTCTGGACCAGCAGGTGGTTCTGGTGCTGATTCTGTATGGACTGGGTCAGACCGGAAAAACGGACCATCTGGATCAGAACCTTTCCAGGATCCTTTTGTGAATGCTACGTCTATTAGTCAGAGGTCAGAGGTCAGTCTGGTGTCTCGTCTTTAGCCATTTTAGAAGAAAACGGACCGGGTCGGACCCACCTTGGTTGCAGTACAGGCCTCCCCAGCCCTCATTGCAGCTGCACTCCCAGGGCTGCTGGCAGGTGCCGTGCTGGCAGCCGGGATGCCGCTTGCAGCTGTCGCAGCGCCGCCCCTCCCAGCCCACGTTACACCGGCAGCGTCCAGGCGCCTCGCACACGCCGCGGTGCCCACCGCAGCCGCCTGCACAGATGGCTGATGGGAGGAGAGAAGAGACAAGATTACCAGGAGAAAACAGCTTCACACACACACACGCATGCACACACACACGCATGCACACAAACACACGCACATGCACACACACACACACGCACACACACACACACAAACACACGCACATGCACACACACACACACACACACACACACACACACACGAACATGCACACACACACACACACACACACGCACATGCACACACACACACACACACATGCACACACACACACACAAACGCACATGCACACACACACACACACACACACACACACACACACGCACATGCACACACACACACACACACACACGCACATGCACACACACACACACACACACACACACACACACATGCACACACACACACACAAACGCACATGCACACACACACACACACACACACACACACGAACATGCACACACACACACACACACACACACACACAACACAGACATAGCAGCTGCTAGCGGTTAGCTGCTAGTTGATAAGACAGCAGCTGCTAGCGGTTAGCTGCTAGTTGATAAGACAGCAGCTGCTAGCGGTCATCATCTGATGTGACTGGCTCCCACTGACAGAGATGCAACCTTTATTTTGAAGGCCTCTGCTCCTCATCAGTTACAGGAAGTTAGCTCTTAGCACTTAGATACGTCAGCTATCGCTAAGGAGAATCTGAGATAAACATGGAGAGAAGTGGGCCTGCAGATTATTGCATCTCTTACAGTGGTGGGGAAAGTACTCAATGTACGCTAGTAAAAGTAAAAGTACCACATTAACAATTTTTACATAAGTAAAAGTATTTGCTGGATGTTTCACCGATAGCACAGCGGTCAAACTCCAGTCCTGCAGGTTTCAGACGAGCCACAGGAACAAAACGCTGGAATGAAACGGCTTCATTTCCTCCTGGTGTGGATCGGATCTCCAGAACCTTAATGGCTCATTATTGTATTCAGCAGAGGCTCAGCTAAAGGTTGCAGGGCAGCCAGTGGCCTCCAGGACTGGAGTTTGACCCCTGACCTATAGGGTCACCACCCATCCCGTATTGATATGGGTTAGATACGATACGGGACGCGATTTGTTCCATGTTTCTATAAATGTCCAATAAACACACTGATCCACGTGTAACAATAATGAGCAAAATAAAACAGGAAATATTAAGGACAGCTGAATTGGCGTGGCAGGAGCTGAAGGACCCCGGAACGCCTAGAGACAGACAGTTGCCTGGAGACGGACGCTGCCATCAACCCGCGTCTTCAGAAACGTGCTGGAAGTAAAACGTCCTGCAGAGACGTGAGAGACGCATTTCCAGGCTGAACTGGTGGCACAGAGAGCTGCTGTGAGATGTGATCGATACCGGATCGATACCGGATCGATACCGGATCGATGCCGGATCGATGCCGGATCGATGCCGGATCGATGCCGGATCGATACCGGATCGATACCGGATCGATGCCGGACTGGATGGATCAGGAGGAACCGCAGACCCGTCAGAATCTACAGAACCAGAAATCAGAGTCTCTTCATCTCCTGAGGCTGAATGATGCAGAACATTACATTATTGATTCTGTTTCAGTGATTTTAGTTGAATATTGAGGTTTGATTATTGGCTCAGGATGATAATTTATTATCAATAAATAAAAGAATATGTCAAGTTAAGGAACAGACGAGGTTAACGGTACATACCTAAACATTTCCTACTTTAAAACAGTTTGTTAGGAGTTTCTGTGAGTTTTATATAGAAATGTTGATACATTTTATGAATAAGAGGTCAGAGGTCAGTTCATGGTTTATTTAACACTTATTTTATTAATGTGCTTTTCCAGTTTGGTTAAGAAAAAAACGTGTTAATCAAAAATGTACCAGACCTGCAGCCCAACACAAGGCCCACAGGGAAACTGCAAAAATGACACGAAATAAATGTCTTTAATATTCAGTGGTCAATTTTTTTAACCTTCACAATTTGACCTGAAAAATGAGCCGTAATAAAACATGATGTGCTGCAGTTTGAGCTGCTGCAGTTTAAGCTGCTGGAGTTTGATGTGCTGCAGTTTAAGCTGCTGCAGTTTGATGTGCTGCAGTTTAAGCTGCTGCAGTTTGATGTGCTGCAGCTTGAGCTGCTGCAGTTTGATGTGCTGCAGCTTGAGCTGCTGCAGTTTGATGTGCTGCAGCTTGAGCTGCTGCAGTTTGATGTGCTGCAGCTTGAGCTGCTGCAGTTTGAGCTGCTGCAGTTTGAGCTGCTGCAGCTTGAGCTGCTGCAGTTTGATGTGCTGCAGCTTGAGCTGCTGCAGTTTGAGCTGCTGCAGTTTGATGTGCTGCAGTTTGAGCTGCTGCAGTTTGATGTGCTGCAGCTTGAGCTGCTGCAGTTTGATGTGCTGCAGCTTGAGCTGCTGCAGTTTGAGCTGCTGCAGTTTGAGCTGCTGCAGCTCTGGAGGCTCTTTGGTTCACAATATGAAATGATGAAATATTGTCTGTAAGCGTCTCTGTAGAAACACCGACTATAGGAACCAAATCTGACTCCTTATGTGTATAAATATTGTAGTATTTAAAATAGCAGAATGTTACATAACTTTCATATTTGGACACATTTTGAATATTAAATAATCAGCTGTTCTGATCAATTATTGAGTCGAGTTTTATGTGTTGCTCTGATTGTTGCATCATTTTGATGGTCGATCATCTAATCACTGATATTAAATGTTAAATCTAAAGTGTTTGATTTTAATACATGAGTAATGAACAATGCTGCAGATAAAACATGTTTTCATTGTGACACGGTTTAGATCTGTGATTTTAGACCGAACAAGAGCTGAGCTACTTGGAAACATCCTGCCTCCTGTCAGAGCATCAAGTTCTGCTACTAGTGGCATTTATTTTGAAAAATCCAACAGGAAGAGGGTGGAACGAAGGAGGTGGGAAGACGTCCCAGGGAGGAAGAGGAGTCCAACCCAACCTGAGACCGGACCGGCGCCCCGCGCTACATGACACAATAAAGGATGAAATATGAACAAAACTGCTTCTTAAGATACCTGAAAAAATCACATTCCCAGAAAAACATGCAGATATTAAATACTTAGAGCAGAAATATATTTAACCAATATCATTATCAATTCAAACTCTGTGTTCTGCTTTGCTTCCATCTCTGAGCATCAATCCACTGAGTGCTGGTGCCGCCCCCGGCAGCATAACGCCCTGGGCGGTTGCCCTGCTGCCCATGTCAGAAACCATCAATTCAGGCAATGAACTAACAGAAAACACTCAACGATGAGCAAGAAGGAACCAAAACAAGGCGACCGACGTTGTTGCTGACGGCATCGTGGCGCTCAGATCGAAACATCGAAATGAAACTTTCCCATCAGGATGGAAACCAGCAAAGCTTAAACATGTTGTTTCTTTTTCAAGACAAATGTTTATGATTCTGAAAAATGATATTGACGAGCATAGAGATGAAAATTAAGGTTGGCAAATTTGATTACATTATTTTTGCAACAATGGAAACTGTGAGATGTTTGCATGGAGGGATGGAGGGTTACAGGGATGGAGGGATGGAGGGTTAGAGGGATGGAGGGTTACAGGGATGGAGGGTTAGAGGGATGGAGGATTAGAGGGATGGAGGGTTAGAGGGATGGAGGATTAGAGGGATGGAGGGTTAGAGGGATGGAGGGTTAGAGGGATGGAGGATTAGAGGGATGGAGGGTTAGAGGGATGGAGGGCTACAGGGATAGAGGGATGGAGGGTTAGAGGGATGGAGGGATGGAGGGTAAGAGGGATGGAGGGTTAGAGGGATGGAGGGATAGAGGGACGGAGGGATGGAGGGATGGAGGGTTAGAGGGATGGAGGATTAGATGGGTGGGTGGGTGGAGGGTTAGAGGGATGGAGGGATGGAGGGATAGAGGGATGGAAAGAGAATCAGTTAAAAGGTCAGATAAAAGGATTCAGAATCTTCTGATTCCTCCAGATTATCGGTTCCAGTCGGAACAGATTTCAGGGTTTTGGACGTGACAGCAGGAAAACGGATGTTTTTTGGGTTTTTTTCCCAAACAGAAAATTGTTTGTTGACTCAGTGAGACGGTGAACAGCTGATCAGATTCTGTGTGAAAAAGGCTGTGAATTTGTAACTTTTAAAATCTAAATGCATTGATATTTATGAATTGATCTGTTGATATTTATGAATTGATTGTTGATATTTATGAATTGATCTGTTGATATTTATGAATTGATTGTTGATATTTATGAATTGATCTGTTGATATTTATGAATTGATTGTTGATATTTATGAATTGATTGGTATTTATGAATTGATTGTTGATATTTATGAATTGATTGTTGATATTTATGAATTGATCTGTTGATATTTATGAATTGATTGTTATTTATGAATTGATTGTTGATATTTATGAATTGATTGTTGATATTTATGAATTGATTGTTGATATTTATGAATTGATCTGTTGATATTTATGAATTGATTGTTGATATTATGAATTGATCTGTTGATATTTATGAATTGATTGTTGATATTTATGAATTGATTGTTGATATTTATGAATTGATCTGTTGATATTTATGAATTGATTGTTATTTATGAATTGATTGTTGATATTTATGAATTGATTGTTGATATTTATGAATTGATTGTTGATATTTATGAATTGATCTGTTGATATTATGAATTGATTGTTATTTATGAATTGATTGTTGATATTTATGAATTGATTGTTGATATTTATGAATTGATTGTTGATATTTATGAATTGATCTGTTGATATTTATGAATTGATTGTTGATATTTATGAATTGATCTGTTGATATTTATGAATTGATCTGTTGATATTTATGAATTGATTGTTGATATTTATGAATTGATCTGTTGATATTTGAATTGATTGTTATTTATGAATTGATTGTTGATATTTATGAATTGATTGTTGATATTTATGAATTGATTGTTGATATTTATGAATTGATCTGTTGATATTTATGAA